CGAGCACGGATCTGGCTGCTGACCTCACCTTCTTCCCCCACAGTCCATGCAGTCCTGGGGGGGTGGTGAGGGGAGCGGAAACAACCAGGCTTCACCACACCTTCCCTTACAGGCACCCCAATCCCATAGTTGAGGCCCTCCCTGAGGGGTCCCACGGGCCAGGTCCCAGGGCCACCAGTGGTCCTGGATATGCCTTCTTGTTCCCGTTGGCAAGGGGCCTGCATCAGAGGGCGCCCAGGACCCCAACAGGGAAGTGGGGGTGGAGTGCTGGGGTGACTCGGCCACGTCTCCCAAAGCTCATCCCAGGCCGGCCACACTGTCCTCCCCAGGGGACCAGGAGCTCCTCCTGCCAACTTCACACCCAATCTCTTCCCCTCCCCCTCTCCAGCCTCAGGTCCCCCCCCTTCCCTTCCTCGGTTTCCAGACCCCACCCCAGTGCCCTAGGCCAGTCCTCTGACCGCGGCCCCTAGATCCACAACGAGGGTCCGCTCTCCTGTGTCAGGGCCCATGGGGACGCGGCATTCCCGTATCCATACTCTCGTCCCCAAGACACGAGGGTCTCGCTGCTCTGCCTGTGCCGAGAAGATCCTGAGGCCAGGCCCCCGCCCTACCAGGCGGACCCACCTCGTAGGCCTGGACCCTCGTGCCTCTCCCTGCGGCGTCACATCTCCACCCCGCCCTCCTGGAACTCCTCCTGGGCTGAGGAGCTCAATCCCGGCCACTATCTTTGGAGTCTGCCGGGCGTCCTTTGGGTGCCAGGCTCTGTGCTAGGTGTCGAGGATTCGAACCAAGAAAGTGCACGCGTTTCCTGCCCCCTGAAGCTCACAGTTCCCCTAAGGGAGGCAGACAGCTGGGGAAGAAGCAGCCTCCACGGAAATACGTGCTCCCAGAGGCCCCGAACACCCGTGGGCCTGGAGGCCACACCGGAGTGCTCACGGCCACCGAGGGCAAGGCCTGAAACGTACATCACAGGAAAGAAATTGCAATATATTCCTTCAGTGGGACACTCCGCGGCGGGACTTGACCAACACGCTCTGTGAAGGGCCGGAGGGTGAATATTTTCCGCTTTGGGGGCCATGGGGTCTCTGTCCCAACGCTCAGCTCTGCCAATGGAGGGTGACAGCCTCCTAGATCGCCCACGAATGAATGAGCGTGGCCGTGTTCCAATAAAACTTTATTCGTGGGGGCCGAGATGTGAATGTTGTATCATTGTCATGTACCGTGAAATATTCTCTTGATTTTCTTCCAACCATTAAAAACACGGGAGAAAAACCACTCCTACCTCGCAGGCCTTACCGAAAGGCGGCGGGGCCGGATTGAGCCTTCCCCCGACTCCGCCACCCCTGCCCTGGGGCCGCTGTTTACGACCCCTGCTCTTTAGCGATGAAAACGCACAGACTGTAGCCACACTGGCAGCTGGACAGATCTTGCAGAACACAACGGAGTGAAAGGAGCAGGTCGTGAGAGAATACACAGCCTCACTGTGATTATACAAAGTTCAAGGACAGGGAACATGAATCTGTATCATTCAGGGACACACACTGAGAATTAAAACTATAAAGAGATGCTGGGAAGCAATTGCCCCGAGAGTCAGGATGGGAGAGAGGGGTGTCTAGGTGGTGGCCGGGGGGGACCAGGGGCTGCAGAAGCTGGCCCCACGGGACTTTGTTTTATGATGTTTATTGTGCTGCTCTGCACAGGTATTAGAGCTCACAACTTAAAAAGAGAAAGCGATGATAATAGGGCCAACTAGAAGAGCATCTGAACCCCGACCTGAGAGGCGTTTACGGTCTACCTGGAACACAGCCCAGTGGGATTCCTATCCCACTGCTCCACCGAGAGACCCCCCCTCTCCAGTCAGACTGAACCTCTCCCCATCCCCGCCCTAGCTCTGCCTTCTGGCCTCCCAGTCTTTATTCCCGCTGTGCGTGCCACCCACCCACCTGCTCGGCCTCCTCCCCCTCTCGGCTCCCTTGCCCCCGCCAACACTCCCCCTGCCCCACCTCCAGCGGCGAGGTGCTTCTCTCTGCCTGCCTCCGGAGCTCTGTATTGGGATTAGACAAAGATGAAAAGCAGAGGCCAATCCTGACAGAGGCTCGGAGCTGCAGGAAAGAAGGCGGGAGGCTCCTGAACATCTTTTGGACAACAAAGGAGCAGTGACACCTGAGTCCAGAGCAAGGGGGGAGGGGAGAAACCTGCATCGGCAACTCTCTCCTTGGGTCATGTTCTGTCATGTTCTCTGGGCAAGCCTCGGCGTTTCCATCAGGCTGACAGTAGGGATGGTTCACCTCTAGTCCCCCCCCCAACCAGCCAGTGCCCAGAACGGGTCCTCCTCATGGGCACTGGAGAAATAAATACAGCCCAGAGTTCTGAAAAGGCCGAGAAGAGAGAGGGGACTGACATTTGTTGGGAGCACAGAGGCTCAGAAAGGTTAAGTAACTTCTCCAAGGTCATGCAGCAGTCCGCGGAAGAAGGTAGGACTTGAACCTGGGCTCTGCCTGGCCCCAGAGCCCTCACAGGTGACTGAAGGCTGCTGGAAGTGGGGAGCGGATGTGCAGCTGTTCCCAGGAGAGCCGAATCTCAGGTTCGCATGACTCAGCCCCGGGGGAGAGCAGCTGTCCATGAGCCCACAAGTGGCTGCCAGACCCTTTGAGAAAAGTAGAATTTGCAGAGAGCTCAAAAGACGGGAGGAGGGTAGGACTCAGGCTCGAGTCCCAGCTCACGACAGGAGGAGGAGGGCTGGGAGCAAGGGAGGTCCTGAGACACCAACGCATAATGAGCCAGAGGCCACCAGCAAGGTCAGAGAGAGCCAAAGGAGCCCGTGGGCTCGCTAAGATACCCAACTGGCCAACTGACTCTTGGATTTCCATTGGCTCTGCTAGACCGGCAGGTGGCTGACGTTCTCTGAGCCCCAACCACTCCGTCTCGGGGCCTAACGCCAGGCAGGAACTGCTATTGTACCCATTTAACAGATGAGGCAATCGAGGCATAGAGACATTAGGAACCTGCCCGGGGACTTGGGGTGAATCACAGAGCTCAGATGGAAAGTCAGCCTGAACGCCCTGGTGTATGTCCTCAATCCTGCACCACCCCGCGGCTCAGGGAAGGGGCCCGCTGTCCCTAGGCTTAGGGGACAGATGGAGAGAGTGAGCCAGGCACCCGCAGGGCAGGACAAGGAGTGACGTTGCTGTCTGCTGCTCTGAGACATTCTAGGGGACCACAAGGCTTTGTCACCCCTTGTGAAAGAGCAGAGTTTCTCTTTTGTACAAACTTTGCTGCAATCCTGAGAAAAAAAATCTGCTGCCTGTTTACAGTTCAGACAGTTACAAAAGTGCTTCTCACCGTGGCATCCCGCAAAGTGTCACCCACTGTTACCCAGGTGTGCTGGGTGCCTTCTGGGGAGGAGGCCCGCACAAGGAGAAATGGTGGGAATTCGAGGGAAATTCAGTTAGACATGACCGAGTTGACGCATTGTCACCAACAAGCTGCATTTCCTTGGGGCCATATCTGAACCAGCCACCTGGAGGGGGTGGGGGGAGGATGCAGGAGGGACTGCAAGGTGTGCGAGGAGAAAGGACATGATGTCACAAGGGGCCCAGCCCAGGAAGCCTGCTGTAGGTACCCAGTCAGCTCTTGCCTCCTGGGGGGAGGACAGTGACATTTTTCTATGAGGAATGTTCTTTACAGAGAGAGCTAAGAAGTGGGGGCCTGGGTGGCTCAGTGGGTTAAGCCTCTGCCTTCGGCTCAGGTCATGATCTCTGGGTCCTGGGATCGAGTCCTGCCTCTGCCTCCCTGCTCAGCAGGGAGACTGCTTCTCCCTCTGCCCCTCCCCCGCTCATGCGTGCACTTGCTATCTCTCTCTCAAAAATAAATAAAATCTTATAAGAAAGAAGAAAGGCTGAGAGGAGACCCAAGGGTCCTGGCTTAGGGATCAGGCTGACTTGGGTCTAAACCTGACCTCCACTCACCCTCTAGGTCTTGGGCAAGCTACCTGGCCTCCCTGGGGCTCTGTTTCCCCGTCCTTAAGCGGTGCCGGCCGTGACAGTACCCCAAGGGTGGCTGGAGGGGGGCTGACCGTGAGAGTATAGCCCAGAGCAAGTGCTCAAAGCGGCTAATTCATGACAGTAAGAAGAGCTATTGTCGTTTATGGCATAAATGAAAGGCAGAGCATGAAGCAGAAGTTGGAGGCAGCTCCCGGAAGCCTCATAAAAGTCTGGGTGAATATAGGAAACCAAGCACCCAGGCTGCACAGTGGGGTGGGGGGACCCTGGGAATCCAAGAGTTTGCCGGGGCTGCCCTGGGAGAGACTGAGCCGGAGGGACCCCAGCTTGGGCAGCCCCGGAGAGACAGTCCTCGTCTGGATAAAGGTGCTCCAAGGCCATGCACCCCAGGGCCTGGCTTGGATCCAGGCCGCCCCCTTTCTGAGGGGACCTGGGACCAGGAAAGGGGGCACGGCTTTGGCCCCAGGAATGGCATCAGCTCATGTTGCGAAAGAACATGAGGCGGCCCCTGGCTGTAGGTCAGGAAGTGGGGGGTGCTCCCCTTTCTGGCAAGAGTGACCATTTGGTGTCCCCGGGCACAGTGTTCCTGGTCTCCCGGGATAACACAGGGAGCGAGGCCGAGGCTGGCCCTGCCTCTTGGCAGATTAAGATTCCATGGGGGAAAGCTGTCCCTCCCCACCGACCCCACACCTGCGCTGACACCCTTGGCCGAAGCAACGCCCACCCACCCTGTCTGAGGGCCAGGGGTCAGGCTGTGGGAGGAAGGCTGCTCACTCGGCGGGGTGGGGTTGCTGCCCGCACCCCTTTAAAAGCCACTTTGGTGAGGCATTAGCGAACCATCTCCCGGATCCCCGAAGGCTTTCCCTGTGAAGTCTACAACGTTCAAACGCAACCAGCAAATCTCCCGAGACAGGTCCCCAGGAATTAGCCGCTCGGGCAGATGAAAGCGGCTGTGATGTGCCGGCCGGAGGGCTCGTGGGAAGGAGGCAGGCAGCGTACCTGTGAGCCGCAGGGTCCAGGGAAACAGGAGCAAGGCCAGGAGCCAGGGGCCCGAGAGCAGGTCCAGCGGGGCCCGCCGCCACAGAGGCCGGCGCTCCATCGGGGCCTCCTGCTCAGTCTTCCTCTTTCGTCTCAAGTTCACTGAGGGGATGGCCTGCCAGCCCCACAGTTCCCCTTTGAGTCCCCACAAAGCTCCTCCTTAGCCAAGCTTCTGCTTCCTCGGGGCCTCACTGGGTTGGATCCCCTTCATAACTCGGACTTTCCGAGCAAGGAGTGGGTACGGTTCTGGGGCGAGGAATCTGGTGCATGCGCCCCTCTGCCTTGGGGAGTTGCTCCCCTCCTCGGTCCCCTTCAAGCCGGTGGCCCATCGGTAGACACTTGGCGACAGAGGGGATGCAGGACTGCCACGAGGAACTGTGGGGCTTGATTTAGCTGCCACAGCTGAAACTTTTAAAACTGTGTTCACAGACTTCCTGCCAGAAATTGTCCAGGGGCCTGTGGATTTGTGTGCTCATCCCAGCGCAGGGTTTCGGGGGGGCGGTGGGAGTTGGGGTATCGGCTGGGGGCGTGATGGAGAAGGGGCAGGCAGCTAGGGTGAGGGCAGGAGCCCATGTTCGCAGCCCTGACTGGTGCCAGGAGGCCAGCTGACGGTCATCAGCGCGGTGAGGGCCACCACAGACACAGCACAGAGGCCCAGTGGTGGCCTCCTCTCTGACTCCCCGGCAATGTTCTTCCCCCGGCCCCCAAGCTTCCCTCGGCCTGAGCTCACCCCTCTCCCACCAGCAGGCATCTTAATTATTGGCTGCCTGACGCCCCCTTCCCCAGCAGCCTCCAGTTTTGCCCTTGGCCTTTTGGAGCCCAGCCCTGGGCCTGAGCCGGGGGAGGTAGGGGGTCGATGTTTGCCTGCAGGCTCTGGGAGGCAGAAGGCAGGGGGGTCTGGGGCTGGAGGGGAGGACCCAGCGCGAGGCAGTGGAGGCTGGGAGAAATTCGGTCGAGCTTCTGCACACATGAGCGCTTCTCCTTTCCCCATGAGTGCCTGTTAACCCTCAAGACAAACGTGATTCTTCCAATTTTACAGAAGAGAAAATGATGCCTCCTAGAGGCAGAGCACCTTGCTGGAGATCAGGGCAGTTCCGTGGGGCCAGAATTCAACGCCCAGCTGTGCGAAGCCTGCCCCAGGCAATCCCCAGCGGGGGCGCGGCAGGGTCCAGCTTTGGTTCTCCTTCCAAAAGCTTTGCACATGCACCATGAAAGCCAGAGATGTTTCCCCAAGCCCAGCAGCCCTAGGAGGGTGGCAAGGAGGAGGAGGGCTGCCCACCAGGTGAGGAAGACCCATGAACGCCAGCCCGGTCCCGCTGGCTGGGGGGCCGCAGGGACCCCAGCGCTACTGACTGTTGATCCGTCAGTGATACACGATCGCATATGTCACACTGAGACACAGATAATCTGCTTCACGCTGTTTCCAACCTCCGGGGGGATCGGGTTGTCTAAGCACCTCGATGCCATGGTGATAGACGTCACGTTAATGCCTCTGTGTGCGGAGGGAGCGTTCTGAAGGCATCGGTCTGTGTCTCTAAGAGTCTCTTTGTGGCTTGGCACTGAGGCTGAGCACCAAGACTCCTCGGAACTCAGACACGGGCTCTGTCCTCGCTCCTGGCCACGCAGGTGCCACTCTTCCCCCTCCGCACACAAAGCCCTCAGCCCCTAAAGAGGGCAGCCCATGATATGCACTCCAGGGTAGCCCACAATATGCTCCCCAGGGCAGCCCAGATCTGCACCCCAGGGCAGCCCACGATCTGCACCCCAGGGCAGCCCACGATCTGCACCCCAGGGCAGCCTACGATCTGCACCCCAGGGCAGCCCACGATCTGCACTCTGGAGCCCTGGATGCTGTGCAGCTTCAGGGGTTGGGTCTGGCGTATGATCTCTGGCCCGTCTGGGGACACCTCTGTCCCCTTTGCCTCTGACACCCCTGGGACTCTGCCCAGTGCAGGCACCTAGTATGTACTCAGTAAATATCGGTGTGTGAATGGCTGGCTGGCTGGATGAGCAGAAGGTGAGGTCAAGTGCCTTACTCCCAGGCTTGCTGTAAAGGTGGTGCCTACTGAGGAGCCTGGCACAGGGCAGGATCCCAACAGGCTACCGTGGGATGACTGTCCCCAGCGAGAGGCAGGGATGCGCCTTGGGCAGGGAGCCAGGGGTGGGGGGGTGCCGGGCTTGCCTGTCAGGCCTTCAAGAGCCAAGTGATGGAAATGAAACCATAGCACATCGAGAAACCTCATTTTCATGAACACTTTCCACCTGTTCTTCCCGCCGTGGTCCCCGAGCAGAGAAGCTGCTGGACTTGGATGTGATGGCTTTTCCTCCCCTGCGCTCCTGGTGGGGCTTTCGGGTAAGCAGGGACGGGAGGGGCAGAGGACGTGGGTTCTGGGGGCACCCCCAGCGGGTAGCCGTGGGCCAGGTCTCCACAGCTGAGTTTGCGGGTAAGGACCCTAAGGGACAGCACACTTCAGTACTCCTGCTTGTCCAGGCACCGGTCTGAGCGTCCATCCATCTGTCCCCTCACATTTGGCTGAGCGCCTCCCGCCGTGGGCATTGGCATCAGCGGGAGGATGCAGAAGTGAGAGACCCAAGCTTCGAGGGCCCCACATGTGGGTGAGGAGCAACCATCCCAGCACAACCAGGCAGTAACATAGTTCTGAGCGGTTACTAAACGCCAAGACACTCTGAATCTACAAATCAGTTTAATCCTCACTGCAATCCCAAAGGTAGGTACAAAACCAATTCCATTTTACAGATGAGGACACCGAGGCACAGGAAGGTTAAAATAAGATTTACATGGGACACCTGGGTGGCTCAGTCAGTTAAGCTTCTGACTCTTGGTTTCAGCTCAAGTCATGATCTCAGGGTCGTGAGATCAAGCCCCGTGTCAAGCTCCGTGCTGGGCACCAAGCCTGCTGAAGACTCTCTCTCTTTCCCCCTGTCCCTCCCACGTATGCTCTCTCTCTTTCAAATAAATAAGCTTTTTAAAAATAAAAAAAATAAATTTTGCCTATAGTCACAAAGCTAAGAAGTGTGTCCAGAGGAAGTGACTGAGGATAACCACAGGCTCTGGGGTCCCATCCACTCTTCCAGCCTGCCTTAATAGCAGCAGTGTGGACAGAGTCAAGAGTGGAGCACAGAGGGGCACCTGGGTGGCTCAGTGGGTTAAAACCTCTGCCTTCGGCTGGGGTCATGATCCCAGGGTCTTGGGATTGAGCCCCGAATCGAGCTCTCTGCTCAGCAGGGAACCTGCCCCCACCCCTGCCTACCTCTCTGGCTACTTGTGATCTATCTGTCAAATAAATAAATAAAATCTTAAAAAAAAAAAAAAAGTGGAGCACAGGAAGAAGGCATTTACTCAGGGTGAAGGGAGGAGGGAGTGCCAAGGAGGGCTTCATGGAGGAGGGGGCAACCCTGAAGGAGGAGGAAACGGGAGAGCTCAGACCTCCCTGGCAGTCCAGAGGTGCCTTACCCACACGAAGACTACAGCTTTCCAAAGTGGACCCAGATGACTGGTCTCTGTTCTCAGTTTAGTTCCTATGCGCACTTATTAAGCGCCTACCGTGTACCAGGTAATGGAAGCACAGAACATAAATCAGGTTGCTCCCCATCTAGAGAAGAAAACAGAACCCCCAGACAGGATTTCCGGCTGCCCTGAGTGAGCAAAGGTGAGCAAGCAGGCGACCATGAGGCCCCTGGCCTGGTGGCTTTGGTTCCCATGCTCCGGAGCTGCGTGTCTTCCCTGTGTTCCCCTCCCCAGCTGCAGGACGTCATTTCCTTTCTGCCCACAGTCTCCAGAACCAGGGGAACCCCACCAGTTGGAGGGCCCCCCTGCAAAACAACCCTCTGCTCTGGCCTGGTGTTCAAGATGGAGAGCGTCAACTCTATCGAGCCCCCCCCACCACACTGGAGAAGGCTGCTGGGGAGGGCAGCCTCCCTCCCCTCCTAGCACCACCCATGGGAGCAGTGAGCCTACTCCCGGGGGGAGGGTATGGGGGGACCTGACCACTAAGTCAGGGGCACTACCCAGCCTGAGAACCAGCTAGCACTCAGTTGAAGGGGACCCTTCTAATCATGAGCTGGACTGGCGCACAGTAGACCGGGCTCCTTTCTCTGGGAAAATGAGCTCGCTGTCACTGGAGGTGAGCAAACCCACCTGGAGGCCCTTTTCCCTGCAGGCTGCCCATGTCCAGACTGTCGTCCCTGTTCAAGCCAGTATTTTTGCCTGTTTTGTTTGTATTTGTTTCGTGCCAGACATGGTTCTAACGGCTTTTCATGTATTGACTACTTCAGGCCTCACGGAAACCTCATGTAGATACTATTATTATTGTCTCTGCTTTACAGATGAAGAAACTGAAGATCAGAGAGAGCAAGCCACTTGCCCAAGGCCACACAGCAAGTAGGCAGTGGCACAAGGGCGTGAGTTCCGTGACTGCGTGACTGCGCTTTTAATCATTATGTTCTCTTGCAAAATTCACTTGATCCTCCCGGCAGGGCTGGTATTATAACCCTCATCGTCCAGAATTAGTGAAAGAGGAAAAATCGGGCAAATGACCTGCTCAGGGTCATAGAAGGGATGAGGGGCATACCCAGGGGCAGAGACCAGGGTTTTCCTGATGGACACATGCTCAGAGTGAGACAAGACTCTCCCAGCTAGTTCTGTTGGGGGAAGGCGGCAAGGACGCAGAGCTTCCTCCTCAGCCCCTGCCACGCGGAAAATAATCCTTAAGATCTGGGAGAAGAAAAAAAAAAAAAAACAACAAAGATGGCATCATTTTTCAGTATTTATCCATGTTTGCCATGTGCGGAGGCCCTGTTAGGATCAGCATCCTGGTACAACCGTGTCCCTGGGAGAGATAAGCACTGAGCAGGTGGCTCGGGGGAGGGCCTCACCGGAGGTCCTCAGGTGGACAGAAGGCCTTGGTCTTGAACTAATGGTACCACCCCGGTCCCCACTGGCCACACGGGACAGCCCCGGGTTGTCCTGTGCCAATGGCGCCACCTGGTGGCAAATAGGGGAAGGCTCACCCGAAGTGTCTCTCCCTGTCCCTTCTTTTCCCTCTGCCAGAGGCTGCCACCCAGGAAGCTCGGT